GGAGGGTGACTGAGCGGGGGCAGTCCTGGGGGTACCCACCAACCTCTGTCCGACAGTAAACCTGGTTTCTTTCATGGGTGTGCCGTCTGTGTCCAGGGCCTTGCCTGTGCTCGTGCTCAGAGAAGCTGGTAGTGTTAGCCAGGTATTGTCTAGTTCTTTTGGTCTTAGGGTTGTGGAGACTGATGTTGGGGTGCTCCATGACTCTATTGGACTAATTGGTTCCCTGTGTCTTTCCATTTTTCATCCTTCTTCTCCCCTACTGAGGAAGAGAGACCAGTATTTGGACTTCAAACAGCTGCTAATGAACTTCTTAGACCCCATTGTTACTAAAGTAGAATATAGGACACTGTCTGTGAACTGTGTTCTGCTAATTGAGACTGTGGCCCTGATGCCCCTCCCGCCAGCACCATCCTCCCTCAAGGCGCTTGATTATGTTGACGGAACTCTCATATCTTTGACCCCTGTATGTACCACCGTGTTCATGGATATATTTGCAACAAAAGTGAGCACACCCATATCAACACCTTCTATCAAACCTGCATAGATATGCTCTGGGATACTCCCACTCTCCCTCCCTACCTGTTCAGCATGGTGGTCTATCCGAGCATTCATTCACAGATCACCACTGCTGTGTGTCTCAGAGTATTTTCAGGATGGTGTGTTTCATCTTATTGGCTTCTGTTGCCTTAAACTCTTACAAGCCCCCCAATGTCTTCCCCTGCTTCCATCATTTTTTCCTAACCCCCCTCATAGTGTATATTGCTTTCCCCTTCACCCAAGTTAATACTTGTCTACACTCTGGCCATGACTCCCCTTCCCTCCCTTCCTGTCCATCTTAGCGATGATCAAAGAATCCTGCTTTTACTGCGAAAACTTTTCCTTGAGTTTTCATAACAGCGGTCTCAGATAAGACGTGTTCCCTCGTGACTGACTGATTTCACTCAGCATAATGGCTACCAGGTTCATCCATGTTGCCAGGTGGTTTTGCCGTTCTCCTCATGATTCTTTGACATTGCGTAGTGTCCCGATGTACGTATATATCAAAGTTTATGCCTCCATTCTTCCACTGCTGGACATTTAGATGGTTTCCATGGGTTTGCTATTGTGAATAATGCTCCTGGTGAGCTATATATCTATATATGTGATGAACAGGGTGAGGTGTGTATATATATGATTAACACAGTGGGTGTCTATCTGTGTCATCAACATGGTGGTGTATACGGGGGGGATACCCCAAAAACCCGGAATATTCTTGCAAAGCTATATATTTAATTTTTTTTAAAAACAAACAACCTTATCACCTTCAAAATACTTTCTATTACACTTAATACATTTGTCAAATCTGCAACTCCATTCTTGGAAACATTTTCTAACAACTGTCTGGATGCTGACATCTCCTCCCTCGTCTCTTTCTTCACCTCTTCTAAGTTGTCAAATCGCTGTCCTCTCATGTCTCTATTGAAGGAACAAAAAGAAGTCAAACAGAGCGAGGCCAGGTGAGTCAGGTGTGTGGGACAAGAGAAGCATGCTATTTTTTGTCAAAAACTGGAGCGCTGACATGGCTGCGGGAACAGATGCCTTGTCGTGGTGGCAAAAGCCAGTCTCCCCGCCGGCCACAAAGGAGGCCTTGTTTGTTGCACATTGCTAGGCAATCTTTTCAGAACCTCTAACTAGAAAGCGTGAGTAAGTCTGACCTGGTGGAATGAACTACAAATGCACTGTGAGTTGACATTTTCGTCCATTCAGTTTTTTCGAGATACCTCCTTGTATATATAATGTACATGGGTGGGGTGCGTATTTGTGTGATGAACATGGGTGGAGTATAGGAGGGGTACCCCCCAAAAAAATACTGGAATTGCTTTGGGCGAAGCAGAGCTTTCTCAGTACACAGTTTCCCTCTAGGTGAGCATCAAGTAACTCGCTGAGTTAGTGCACCCAGTGGCCTTGCCTTGAAAGGTTCTCACTGGTCACAGTGAATTTTTTCATAAAAGCCATTTCACTCGATGGCCGATTTAAGAGAATAGCATGCGGCTATGAATTTTTGTTTCCTGCTCGGGAAAAATGCCACAGAAAGTGTTGTGATGTTGAAACACCTAACAAGGACTGTGCTATAGGAAAAAACTCAAGTGTCCAAGTGGTTTTCTCATTTCAAAAAAGGTGAAATGTTGATTGATGACAAACCTTGTTCTGGACATCCATCAACGTCCCGAATGGACGAAAATGTTGACTCATAGTGCATTTGGAGTCTGTTCCACCAGGTCATCATAGGCCCTTGGCCTTTTCCTCAGCGGTCTGCATCCGGCAGCGTGGGCTGGTGTTTAGCCCCATCATTGAGAGAAGAGGCCACGGAAAGGCTCTTTCCTGGAAGCGCTGTGACTGCCCACAGAAGCTGCCTTCCTGGCCACCACTGCTGCCCCCAGTTAATTTGAAAGCCAGTGTATCTGCCGCCTCAGCACACTCACTGTTTTCCATCTCTGTTCTCTTGACCCCAAATGATCATCATTTATTTTTCAGCTCAGCTGTTTTGTTTTTTTAAGGGGGCTGGGTTCCTAGTTGTGCACTTTATTTTGGGAGACGATATTGGTTTAGTGTTAGAATTAGAATTCTAGACTTCCATCTGGGAGACCCAGGTTCAGTTCCTGCCAGTGGACCGCAGGCACAGCCACCACCTGCCTGTCAGGTGAAGCTGAAGGGTCTTTTTGCGCTATAAGGGTTGACTATTCTAAGGTGTGCATACCTCCCTACTGTTACTTGTTCCCCTTATAGACCTGTCTGTTGTTTGCCCGAAATCTGAGCCTTGGAGTGAGTTAAAATTTTAAGTTTAAAAGGTGTAAAGTTTAATGATTGGGAAGTTACTTTAATCCTTAACACGATAGCAACAAGGGAAGATATTTTTATTTAGAAAACTTTCAAACATATATATATTTTAACATTAGAATCATGTAATTCGCTGTCTTTCACCATCACCCAGGCTCACGAGTTATCAAAGTTTTGCCACACCTGCTTCAGCCTTCCTTTTCCATGATGGTTTGTTGCAGTCTTTTGTAGTCAATCCCAGATCCATCGTTTTTGCCTTTCTGTATTTCAGGATGCATATGTAAAACCTAGGAGAAATTCCTTCCATATCTACAATGCCATTGGTATGGCTTATATGTCACTGCTTAGTATCAATATATATGTAATATTAAAATATATCCTATTGCTTAAAAATAGCTTCTTTATGTTTGATTTGTTCAAATCAGGATGTAAGCAAGGTCTACAGATTACATCGGGTCATTATGTCTTGGCTCAGGTTTTTTTGGGAGTTTTTCGTGACTGAGGGGGAAGGTAGGTAGGAAGAAGCAGGGGTAAGGCATTTGATTTTAAACCTTCCTTTGAAAAGGAAACTTAAAGTCACAGTCTACTAGCAATCAGGAGATTGGATTGTAACACTTGTGACTCAACTAATACGTTTTTGGACCATGTCACACTTTTTACATCGCTGCCTTAAAATTAGTGTTATTATTAGAATAGTCTTTTGTTCAATGCAAGGTATACATTTGAGTTGCCATTTGGAAATTTTAGTTGGAAACTGAAACTTTCTATTTTACACCAACCAAACGGGAAGGAAGGCAAAGAATCCCAAAGTAAATAACGTTTCTAAGAGACCTGCTTCTCACTACCGTGGTCAGTTAGTTCTCTTCCTGTAGGCTATCTTCCTCAACTTAAAAGAGAACGTTTTCCCTAAGAACTTCACGTTTTTATTGTTAATGATAAAATCTACTTATGGAGCTCTTAAGCGAACTGTAAACTTATCACTGAATATATAGTTTTCTTGGAAACCGTTAACATTCTGGCAGGGCATATGTTAATAAATTAAACACAAAACAAAAACAGCCTTAAGTAGCTTTTTTTTTTTAAGCCCTTACATATTTTTAAGCAGTTTCAGCTAGCGCTTAAGATCGCGAATTATAACGTTCAAACGTCATTTGAACCTTAAAATGTTGATGCCTCTTCCCAGATCATCTGCTCTCTGCTCTCTGTAGGTTCTGAAGAGGAATTTTATTGTGATGTGCCATATTGAAAGAGAAATGGGACATGATTACTAAAATAGAATGTAAGATGTCTTTTCTCTAAACAAATAATTTCTGCAAACGTAGAACATAAATTACAGGAAACTAGGAGCTACAGCCGCTTTGTTGGAAATTTGAGTCTTGTACAGTAGTGTGAAGTTTAGGTGCGTGCTTGCTTCCCCTCCTTGGGAACATGCTGTGTGTAGGCACAAACAGGAGTCACAAGGCTCATTTTGTAGGCAACCGTCTGCCCAGTGGTTGTAAGTAGTACCATCTTCTATAGCTTCCAGTCCTAAAACCCATATCAAAAAGGAAAGTAGGGCCCAAGAAGAAATGAAAACATTTCATGCCTCCCCCAAAGTAAAGATATTTACTCTTTTCTAATAGATGTAATGTATAGCAACATGTTAGACTGTAGCCTTTTGGTACCTGGTCTTTCCAATTATTTGCTTATATCTTATGCCTTGTAGGTGCTCTGATGTGAGTCTGCAAAAACTACCGGAGCAGTGGTTATGGAGTGTTTTCGAGGACATAAAAAGCAGCGATCCTTCATCTAAACTCTGTGCTACCAGGCGTAGTGCCGGGATTCCTTTCTACATACAGGTGCTGTTTGCTTCTTTCTTTGTGTCTTTGTATAATAGCGTGTTCTTATCCCCTCTGGCATGTGACTGAGTGCTTGCATAAGGGACATTTTTGTCTTTTCAGCCCCATTGCATTTGTGGCTTGCTCTAATGCGTGGACAGCGTGTTCCTGTAACAGATCCGTTCCGGGAACAAACCCTCCGAGAGGTCAAATCTAATGCAAGTCGAAGGCGGTATAGATTTCCGCCTGTGTCTGTAGCAGGCAGACCTCACCGTGACACCTTCTTAGGCAAGATTGCCTTGTGTTCTCCATTGCTCACTTCCAGGAAGGGCAGGACACTGGCTGCCTCCCGGCCTCCCCCCCACCCCCACCTGTTTGTTTGTTTTTAATGAGAAAAAAAAATCTTCGTCTCATTTCAAGATCCCAAATTTCTATCTCTGAAAACAATAAATATTTGCCTTCAGGCAGTTTCTTAGAAATTCTTCCATCTAATATATCCTTATAAAATAATTCCTATAGCAGCTAACATTTATTAGTGGCTGCTTAACATGTATCATCCCATTGAATCAAATATTAGGAGATAGGGTCTTCTATTCATATTTTATAGTGGAAGAAACTGGGCCTTAAGAGAAGGGACTCACCGAAAACCACAGAGGTCCTGAGGACGGAGCTGAGCCTGGAGCCACAGGAGCCGGGCTCTTGGTTCAGCTTACTCATCACACAAAAGCCTTGCGGACGAGGGTTTGATTTAGTATTATGAGGACTTTGGCTCTTACTCTTTGGATTCTTGAAGGCAAGAGTCTCTTCACTGCACACCATAAACGTATCCTTCTGTCAGTTGCGACATCTAGGTATGCTGCCGTAGGCTTCTCGTTCAGGTATACTACTCTAAAAAGCAAAGGACACATTTACCACCATCAAAGGACAAAACAGTATATACACTATGCTTTCATTTGGGTCCAAAAAAGGAGGGGGAGTTCCCTCATATCAGTACTCCAGGCATGTTCATGCCAAAATGGTTTTGGTACCTGTAGAAAGGGTGTGTGGGCAGTGTCTGACCGCCTCTGATGTCACAAGAGAGAAGCAGCAGCAATAACCTTTCAGCAGATTTCTATGAGGTGAGGGTCAGACATGCTGCCACCTCTTTCCCCCTCACCTATTCTGCCACCAAACATCCCAGGGTACTCCTTACTTCTCTGCTGGGTTTGAAAATTCAAAAATTCATTGTCGGCCACACAGAACTCACAGACCACACTCAGGGATATAGGGTTGTCAGGGAAGTTGATAGATTACATTTCAGGATCAGATATGTTAAGGATACAGTTCTTTGGTTTACAGTGTCTCTTTTTAGCTGTTCCAAGAATGACCTTTTCTGATCCTGGGCCTCTCAGCAACTTGGCTCCTTGACCTCTGCAAAGCACTTTCAGTGATGCCCCAAAGACACCGTACTCCGAAAGTGAGCCTCCTGCCCAGAGCCGCTCACGTGTACTCAATCTGTGCGCCAGAAAGCCCCCAGCCCTCTCCGTTCTGCTGCCGATGCTTTTCCATTGTATTTCTGGTGTCAGCCCTCCGTGTCCTGGATTGAGGAGGTTCGGTGTGCAGGAATCTTAGCATCTAGAAGGCAAGCTTCACTCTTGGCTGTTCTTTCTTGAAGGTAGTGAGACCCTCCATTCCTGCTTTAGAGATGGCTCATTCTATGTCCAGCAGGGTGGCAAAACCCAACCTTAGAGTTTTGTAAACTCTATTTGTATAGTCCTACTCAATCATTTGGTGGGAGTTACAAAGACTATGGCTTCAAGAGCCATAATTTGCAGGATCACTGTATTCTACTTTTGTGTATATTGGTTAGTAGCAAATTGTTATGCCAAAAAGAAAAAAATTGTTTAAAATTCAAGTATAAGGGCCCTTGGAGTTTATAATATTTCTTTTTGTCCCATGAAATCATCAGTGTTACTTCCATTTTGATTGGTCTTCCAGGGTTAGTCTCTTTTGTGAAGGAGAATTAAATACGGATCAGTTTCCAATGCATTTTAAACTATTTGTATGAAATTTAATCCAAAGGGTTTAAAATAAATAAATAAATAGATAGATAGATAGATAGATAGATAGATAAATTATTGGTCTACAAATTTGTCACTAAGGTGGACTTGTTTATTTGTGATGGTCCTTATCATTGTCAACAAGAGCCATTTTTCAACCTTAGAATTAGGTAACTAGTAAACAGGAAGTATCCTTAGAGATCCTATGATTTCACTGTCTGGTTTTACAGATGAAGGCTCTTGAGGTTAAGTGAATTGCCCAAAAGCCACATGATTCAATTAACTTGCCTGGATACCACATGCTTTCATAATGGGGATTTTACGCATTCATGTTGATTCTGAGATGAAGCGAGTAGGTGTGTGCTAAAGGAGAATGCTGTTCATTTCCCCGTTTTCCCATAGGCACTGTTGGCATCTGAACCAAAGAAAGGCAAAATGGACTTGTTGAAAGTAACAATGAAAGAGTTAATCTCTCTGGCTGGGCCTACAGATGACTCACAGAGCACAGTCCCCCAGGTAATAATGGAAAGACTCACTTTACAGCCTTGTTGAGAAAGAAGACAGTGGTTTTAAATATTTGTTGTTCCTTTTAAATTTAAATTTTAAAAGATCCGGTAAGGATATAGAACTCTGAAGACAGGGCAAACATTGAAAGCTTGTTTGGATGGTTATTTTCCTGTTCTTTTGCTGGAAACTACAGACCAACATCAGCTGTTTTAAACTGATAAAACGATGTAGCAGATATTTTATAACATTATTATTGTATCTAAAAATATTAATGGGAATTTCACGTGTGCTTCTTTGAGTTGATAAGTAACTTTGTAACATGGCAGTTGTCCCTAAAATGTAGTACATAAATTTTTGGTATGTGCACATTTTAACTTTATCTGGTGTTCAGCCTTCTTGTCATCACCTCCCTGCACAACCTTGGGTTAAACACTCCTTCCAGCTTCACTCCATGAAACCCACAGATCGACTCCTGTGGAGCCAACTCTGACCAACAGTAACTCGCTCTCAGGTGGTGGGTCCCTGTCAACGTACAGGGGAGAGGTCCTCTGTCAGTGCTTCGGAGTAAGACATTCTTGTCATTTGTTTGCACAGTGAACATACTTTTTTAAAAATTTTAAAGCTTTAAGGTATACATTTCTTTTTTCTAAGGACCACTTGAGCAGCATCTCCTAAATGTTAACATGTAGCATCTTCATGATTGCTCATTTCTAAATATGCAAAAGACTCTTCTTGGGCCCACCTTTAAGATGTGTCCATTTTTGAGTTATTCAGTAGAACATTAGTTTGATTGTCAAGTCCAGTGTGGGGATAGCATAATCTGCAGGACATATTGCTAATTTGGTGTTTGTGGTCATTTCAAGCATTCCGTGTGTGCTGGACGAGAGAGTGTTTTCCCTATTTGTTGCTAGCTCTTACTGAGTCATCGTCCCTGATTCATCATGACTCCATTGGTGCATAGTGGAATCAGATGGTGTCTGGTCTTGCACCTTCCTCATAGTAGGTTATTGTGGTCTGTATGGTGTTTATTGGCTGATTTGTGGAAGTAGACCACTAGCCCTTTCTTCCTAGTTTGTCTTTGTCTGGGATCTCTGCTGAAACCTGTTTAGCATCATAGCAACACGCAAGGCCTCCACTGAAAGATGAGTGGTAGCTACGATTGAGTTCCATTAGCCAGGAACTAAGCGTGAGTCTCCTGCATCAAAGGAGAGAATTTCCAACCGAACTACCATTCCCTGTCACCCACCCTTCATTTTTAGGTGCAGGATTTACATGTATTTTTTGTATAAAAAGTGACTGTATTGTTCAAACCTTATTAATTTATAAAATCAGTGCATCATCCATTGGGTGTGTTTTATTAAAATCTGTTGTCTCATTCGTTTTATTTTTAGTCTGTTCAATTGGATATATACAGATTTAGAATTGGCTTTTAACCTACATCTAATCTTGAACTCTTTGTTCCAGGTTCATGCTTTAAATATCCTCACAGCCTTGTTCAGAGATACACGTCTGGGAGAAAATATTATTCCTTATGTGACTGATGGAGCTAAAGCTGCAATTCTGGGCTTTACGTCCCCAGTCTGGGCAGTAAGTATTTTTCCTATTTATTTTCCTTGACTTAATTATATTTCCAAATAGGACTGGATAAGCTAACCTTTCACTGAATGGTAAATATATATATAATATAATTCCGTTGGATCTCTTCTGGTGGCTTGTTAGCCATACCTCTTTGTTTTCTTATTTAAATGGTTGCTTTATGGATGTTGGGGGTCCATCTTTTTTTTTTTAATTGGAGGCTCGTACAACTCTTATCACAATCCATCCATCCATCCATCCATCCATCCATCCATCCATCCATCCATCCATCCATTGTGTCAAGCACATTTGTACATTTGTTGCCATCATCATTCTCAAAACATTTGCTCTCTACTTGTGCCCTTGGTATCAGCTTCTCATTTTCCCCCTCCCTCTCCGCCCTCCCTCCCTCCCTCATGAACCCTTGATAATTTATAAATTACTATTTTGTCATGTCTTACACTGTCCGACATCTCTGTTCACCCACTTTTCTGTTTTCTGTCCCCCAGGGAGGGGGTTATATTAGATCCTTGTAATTGGTTTCCCCTTTCTACCCCACCTTCCGTCCACCCTCTTGGTATCGCCACTCTCACCACTGGTCTTGAGGGGTTCATCTGTCCTGGATTCCCTGTGTTTCCAATTCCTATCTGTACCAGTGTACATCCTCTGGTCTAGCCAGATTTGTAAGGTAGAATTGGGATCATGATAGTGGGCGGGGAGGAAGCATTGAAGAACTAGAGGAAAGTTGTATGTTTTATCGTTGCTACACGGCACCGTGACTGGCTCATCTCCTCCCCGTGACGCTTCTGTAAGGGGATGTCCAATTGCCTACAGATGGGCTTTGGGTCTCCAATCTGCACTTCCCCTCATTCACAATGATATGATTTTTTGTTCTTTGATGCCTGGTACCTGATCCCATTTGACACCTCGTGATCACTCAGGCTGGTGTGCTTCTTCCATGTGGGCTTGGTTGCTTCTTAGCTAGATGGCTGCTTGTTTACCTTCAAGCCTTTAAGACCTTATGCGCTATATCTTTTGATAGCTGGGCACCATCAGCTTTCTTCACCACATTTGCTTATGCACCCCTTTGTCTTCAGCGATCATGTCTGGAAGGTGAGCATCATGAAATGCCAATCTTATGGAACAAAGTGTTCTTGCGTTGAGGGAGTACTTGAGTGGAAGCCCAATGTCCATTTGCTAGCTGGTGTGTATCTTTAACTTGTTACAGTCTACCCTGAAATGATGCTGTATGACTTTACACAGTCTAAGGTCCTAACATGAAGTGTAAGAGCACTTAATGTGTTCTCTCATGTTTGCCCTCCCAATCTGTGCAATTATTTTCATACGTTTTATTTTTCACCAGAACCCAAATCTATCTGAGTCAATTCCTATTCACAGTGACCCTGAAAGTCAGGGCAGAGTTGTTCTGTAGAGTTCCCAAGGGTATAAATCTGTATAGCAGCAAACTGCCACGTCGCTCTTCCATGGAAATGGAGCGACTGCTGTTGTTGAACCACTGACCTTTTAAATGATTACCAACTGTGTGACCAGGGTGCCTTTTGACTTTTATAGACATTCTAAGTGTTACTTTTGTTTAAACAACCAGTTATCTTTTGAAGAGATTTAAGTAATAATAAAACAGTCATAGAGTGAGCCAAGTTGTCATTCCAGTGGTATATATGATCATGTTTTATTTTGCCTTCAAGCTTGAAGATCTTTTCACTTAGCACTGACTTCTAGGTTGTAGATTTTAATTTTCTTTTAGTACTTTCCAGATGTTCAATTTCCGATTTTTGGCTTACATTGTAATATATAATAAGATTGTATTTTATGATCCCCCAAAAACAAACATGTAGCTTATCTTTTCCTCTTGTTGCTTTTTAAGAGTTTTTCTTTATTACTGATTTTGAGCAATTTGGTTCAGATGTAACTTGATGTAATTATTTCATGTTTCTTGTACTTGGGGTTTGTTTAACTTTTTCTGTTTATTTGTTTAGCTTCTTGAATCCTCACTTTCATCAAATTTTGAAAATTTGGTCATTCTTTCTTCAATTTTTCTTACCTGCAGCGTACTTCTATCTCCACTTATTTGGGGACTCCAACTGAATGTATATTCGGCTCCTGGAACTTATTCCTTAGCTCCTTATACTTGTTCCTCCTCCATTTCCCATCCTCGGTTCCATTTTGGATAGATTCTATTGCTGTGCCTTCAGTTCACGAATTCTTTCTTCTTCAGTACAGAATATGCCATTGCTCCTATCCAGGGTGTTTTCATCTTTAGAATTCAATTGAGGCCTTTTCGAAGACCTTCCATGTCTTTGCTTGCCTTTTGGATAACCGTTTTCAAGTCTTTATTTGCTAATTCACTGTCTGTGGCAGTCCTGACCCACTTTTGATATTTGATTGGTTCTCATGCTTCTTTCTTTCCATGCTCGATACATTTTTATTGGATGCCCCTAACAGAGTGTTGTCTTATTGGGTGCTGGTGTTTGGGGTTTTTTAAAATTCCTATAAATATTCATTGTTTTAAGACATGGCTAGGATCATTGGAAGCAGTTTGATCTTTTTCAGGTCTTGCTTTTAAGATTTGTTAGGCAAGACCTCAGTAGTGTTTGTTTTAGGGAGAACGATTTTCCACCACAGAGGCAGGATCCTTCTGTGCTTGTTACCCCTGTGCCCTGTGGAGGATGAGGACTTTTACTCTGGCTTCTGGCGACACTCGTTATTCCTAGTCTTCTGTGAGAGGCCAGCACCATCAGCTCTACTCCTTTCCGGTGTTTCTTTCTCTGGCCTCAGTTTCCCTACACATTCAGACTGATCCGGAAGTCAGCGGAATTCCCAAGGTGCCTGGAAATTCTTGTGAAGCTATATGCACTTTGATATTCACAGGGCTAATCTTATTTTTTCTCCCCATCTCTAGTGTATCACTGTCCTTCAATGCTTAATGCCCAGTATTTTGAAAATTATTATTTTAAATGTCTTGGCGGTTTCTTGCTTGTTTCAGAAGGGTCTGGCTCCTATTTCTCCATCTTGCTTGCAAACAGAGACTTTTCGTATCCTAATGTGTCTGGTGCACGCTTCTTTTGCGATGCAGTGGATGGTGAGTGTTACATCCCGGTGGTGAGTGGGCGCCACAAGCGTCTACATCCGGGGAGTCCTATGTGGAAAGAAGCAAACAAAGATGTATGTTAGATGCTGAGTCATGGTTTTGTTTTTGCGTACCAGTCTGATCACAGTCCAGAAACATTGTGATTCTCACTAAAACTCATTTAAAGAACTTTGGAGAGAGTGGACCATACGTAGTACACTTGTTGGATTTCAAGAGAAAAAGCAAAAAAAAACCAAAAACCCCACAACTCTCTGAAGTGGGTAATTTCATGATTTCTGGGAGAAGTGCTGTGTTTTGATTACTCTCCCATACTCTCATGCTTCCTCCCCCCGGGAGCGTAACTTGTTGTTTGTAGATGCTGAAAGTACTGCTGAAGAAGAAAATAGGAAAAGGAGAAAAGAAGCAAGATCTTACCTCATTACCCACAGAATGAGAGACTTAGCGGACGCAGGCTTTCCAATCGAGCGAGCTGCGCACGCTGTTGCAGATTGTACCGGGAGCCTGCTGAGAGTCAGCGTGTTGAGTGGCAGGCACAGGCATGTGCTCCCATGGCTGCCAACCGCTGCCTGGAAAATTGTACCTGTGCCAGCTTCTGAAAGTTTGTCTAAGAGCATTGCATAACTTTGAGGACCCTGCATTTACCTTTTGTGTTGACAGGAAGCAGAGAAATAAATACCTGTGTGCCGTCAGGAGAGTTGCAGAGGCAGGAAGGTGACTTGCTCAGGAGGAAAACGAGCTATCAGAAAACATACGGCACATTCGTACATCTGTTGCCACCATCATTCTCAAAACACCTGCTTTCTACTTGAGCCCTTGGTATCTGCTCCTCATTTTCCCCCTCCCTCCCCCTCCCCTCTACTCCCCTGAACCCTTGATAATTTATAAATTATCATTATTTTGTCATATCTTACACCACCCGATGTCTCCCCTTACCCACTTCTCTGCTGTCCCTCCCCCAGGGAGGAGGTTAAATGTAGACCTTGTGCTCGGGTCCCCCTTTCTACCCCACCCTCTCTCTACACTTCCAGTATCACCACTCTCACCATTGGTCCTGAGGGGTTCATCTGACCTGGATTCCCTGTGTTTCCAGTTGTATGAGCCCCTAATAAAATGATTGGAAAAAAAGAAAATAAAAGACCAATTTTAGTGTGGATTGCAATTCAATGTAAGGAAAGCAATACCCTCACAATTATACCAATAAATAACATAATGATAAACAGAGAAGAGAAAAGAAAAAAAAAAGAAAACAGATGGCTCGAGAGACCAGTCTTCTGTTCTTTCAGCTGAGCAAAGACTCGCTCTGTGTGGAAAGACTTTCAAATGGTGGAACCAGGTGGTTTTTCCAGCAACTACCAGTCATGAGTGATTCATAAAAGTCTTTTTAAACAATAGCACTCTATATACCGTAGAAATTTCAAAAGTACAGACGTGTGGGGAAAAAATCACCTGTTAAACTGCTATGTAGTATAATCATTACTATTATTTGGATGCATTTCCTCCTCTTTTCTATGTGGGATTTATAAATCTAAAGTACCCAACCCATATGCATATGTGTAGTACATATATCACAAAATACAGATCTCCTGCATGAATATATAAAATGCTTTTATATCATTATCTCTTGGGATTTTTTTTAAACACTGCTTTCAAGTGATTCTTTTTTGCTTCTATTCAGGTTATTTGCTTTATTAGAGGAAAGAGCCCTCCTAACTAATTATATATACTATGCTTTTAATATATTGAAGTTTCTCCTTATAAATAGCTAATGGAAGACCACAGTTATAAATTATATTAATCAAAGTATAGCACTGGTGAAACATACAACTTTCCTCTAGTTCTTTAATGCTTCCTCCCCCTCACTATCATGACCCCAATTCTACCTTACAAATCCGACTAGACCAGA